ACTATGTAAGTTTACGGAAAATTCTGTGACCATCTTCACGTAAAAATAGTTATTCTGCTTTCCCTAAGACTTCAGATCATTCTCTTCTTTTCTCTGTTTTGTTACTCTTATTTTTTTCCAGTGGACATAAAGTAGTTAGTAGCAAAGGACAATATTAGGCTTTCCGACTTCTTACAGAAAGAAAAGCCTCTGGAAAATACAAGATATAAAAATGAAACTTGCCCTAGACTTGTGCTGGAAATTCAAACACGGCGACTCAGAGCAAATGCAAGACCATTAAGAAGTACAAGGGTCTCTGTAGTTATTTCAGAAGGTGAAACCTACTGCTTCAAGTTTCACCTACACATAGGCACATACAGTTAAACAAGAAGCATCCATGTAAAATATCCAATGAACAGCAACCTTTAAATCATTCCCAGTTGCTCTATTTCTGTGAAGAAATGAATTTCTCCCTCTGCTTTTTGGGACTGGTCCCTAGCTGATGATGAGCTACGTTTAAGTTGTTTTTCAGATGTTTCTGCATTCTATATACTGGTCTAAAACTCTGGGGTGGGTTGACCTTGGCTGGACACCAGGTGCCCACCAAGCCGCTCTATCACTCCCCTCCTCAGCAGGACAGGGAGGGGAGCAAAATAAGATGGGAAAAACCTCATGGTAGACAATAGGTTGTCAAGATAAAGACAATTTAATAAAGCAAAAGCAAAGGCCATGTGCAGAAGCAAAGGAAAACAAAAGATTTATTCTCTACTTCCCATCAGCGAGTGATGTCTGGCCACTTCCAAGGAAGCAGGGCTTCAGTAGGTGTAGCAGTTGCTCCGGAAGACAAACATTGTAAATAATGAATGCCCCTGCCTTCCTCTTCCTTTCTCTTAGCTTTTATTGCTGAGCAGATGTCTTATGGTATGGAATATCCCTTTGGTCTGTTTGGGTCAGCTGTCCTAGCTGTTTCGCCTCTCAAGATCTTGCCCAACCTCAGCCTACTGGTGGTGGTGGGGGAAACACTGGAGAGACAGCCTTGATGCTGTAACTCCATCTCACCCAGACCCAATACAAACTACAAACTCCCATCACTCATCTCTTATTGTGCTACAACCTACCTTTTTTGGGCAGCTGGAGCCATTTTCAAGACCTTGGAGGATCACTATTGGCAAGATTGTTCTCTGCATCTTGATTCTAAAAGTTTTTATACACACAGCTGCTCATCCAGGTATATTTAGGAGCTTTGAAATTCAACTGCTATGCTATTGAGCAGGTTTTGAAACCTTTTTTGGATCGTGGTAGCTACAGCTTTTGCTAAGCCTCTCCTCCATCTGTGTTACAGCTGAACTAAGCTAACGAGCATTTTCTTTTGGGTCATCCATGAGTCTGCAAATTCAGAGCGCTACAGGAGAAACACACTCAATTAGTGGAATCCACAGGGCTGATCTCATACAAAGATTTGGTTAGTGTTTTGGGCTGCAGATAGCTGCCGGTAGGAACCATCCAGCTGGATATTTACTGGTGCTACACTGAGCACTCCCTATCCCTGGGGACAGGTGCCCCAGATTCCCACCAATTCTATGCCCTACTGCTTTTCTGGTTATGGAACATCCCACAGACCAACCTCACCATAGCGTCTTTGAGAGATAACCACTTTCTCCTTTACTGTCAAAACAGGGATTTTGAAACTGATTTTTCAGTTCACGTACACACAGACACCTAGCCAGACTCCCTTCTTTTATTTCTAATTTCAGCAGCACTGACTAGAAGACCTGGCTTCTTCAGTCCTCTCTTTTACCCCTTTAATACTTCACACCTCTCACTAAAGCCTTGTTTTCATTCCCCTCAGACCAGTACATGCCAGTTAACAAAGAGGATGCAAAAATGTCAATCGGTGTCTCAGACTGACAATTGCATTTAATTACCTCTGACCCCCCCCAGCCACAGATGTTTAGAATAACAATTCAGGAATTCAGCAAGGTTGTCCCCAGGTGCCTTAGAGATAACAAGAAGCGCTGTAACATGGCTTTCAAAAGGACAGTTCAAATAAGCAGCCAAACTAAGCATGAGTCCTGAACCAATTGAAGTTTGCCTCTCTTGCTAGTATTGTGAACTATGATTCTCCATATTTCTGGAGTGCTTTCTACTTAAGGATGCATGGCAACTTAAGAGACTTTAATTGACTCTCAACACGCCTTTCGTAAGTATTATTTCCAATTCAATGGCTAAGAAAAGCACAGCATAAAACATGAAGCCATTGTCCAAGTGCACAGCGATAAAGAGAAACTGCTGAAATAGCTCTCCCAATCTTAAGAAAAGTACAGCTTCTGTATCTGCCAAAAGTTAGTGTTGGTTGTTTTTTTAATTCATAAATGAGTCAACAGCATTAAAAAAAAAAAAGGTGGGAATTTTTTTAGTGGACGGCCAATAGATATGGGCTGTCTCTTAAAAGGGAAGCTGAAGGAAGGGCAAGTTGGAAAGTTTTCCAACTGCATGTCAGTGTTTCTCAGAGATGCCAAGATAAATCCATCACTTTCCAGAGATGCCACTACAAAGGTAGCTACAAATATGCTCTCAGAAACTACAGGAAATTTAGTGCCTATGAAAAATGGAGGGGTGGGGGGATCCCACAACCAGCAAGCAACCAACTAAAACTGGGTCCCAAGTTACGACATAAAAAGTGTTCATAGAAGTAATTATTTACAACTACATTCCAGACCGGCTGAAATAAGATGACCATTCCCCAAATAGTCTTTGCAAGATATCAAATTACTAAAATACACAGGATATTTCAGTGAGTGTTCTGTTCATCAAGAAAACTGATAAGCCTTAGGCCTTCATGAAAAAAAGATACCTTTGCTTCTTCCTTTGGGGGAAGGGGTAGCTTTTCCTACATATGTCTTTCCCAGAAAGCCCTGTGTTTATTTCAGGGGTAGTGTTGGTCCATGTTGTGAGCCAATGTTGCAAGACTGGGAGCTGTTCATGCCTCTCCATATGCAAAGCAATGGCAACTTCCCCTCTCCTTCAATCAAGCCTGGGAAAAGGAAGATGTGTGTCCTCTGGAAAAGACATAGTGAATTTGCACAGTCCACACAAGATGGGTCTATACCAGGGAACATAAAGAAACATTTCCAGTAGTCCAGCTAGTACCGTAACAGTAGCAGTGATGCTGGAGGAGCCCTAACTCAGAGAATACTCTGTCAGTGTAGTCAATGCATTGATGTCCTTTGAGCAATCAATCTTGCTGCTGTCAGTGGAACTGCGCCAGAATTTGAATTTGAGTTGCAAAAATGCTTAGCAAGGTATGCAGTTTTGATTCGTCCTTATTTGTCCTATTTTGTATCTTATTTGCCTAAGAATATTGTTTTCTCTTTTAGGGAAAAGTGACAAAACAACTAAGCCAATTTCCTTCTTGTCTAGGTCTAGCACAGCTTAATGCTGCCATATTCTAGTTTTTCATTTGTTTCCCAATAGCATTTATGATTACTTCAATCTTGTATTGCTCCTCTTGCTCCTCTCCTGGTTGATTTCATTTGTTACTACATTTATTTAGAATCAAAGATATATATGATACTGAACAGGGAAAGACAGAGCTCCAACCTTGTTCCAGATACTATGCAACACTTTCTGATGGTCTTCGCAACTCTATTGGAAAAAAATATGCAAAAACCACGACTAAGATATTTCATGTAATTTTTTATGAATTGATCTACCATTCTCTAAAAATCAATGTTGATTCTTCTCTGTGGGAGAAAGACTGGACCTCATCACTGAGAGACTGAAGAAAATTAAGTACTGAGGGAAGATTTACATGAGAACAAGGAAGCTACCCTAAATAAACTGGCCAGAAGGACACTTCAATTGCTTTTGACACTTTTTGCAGAGTGGAGTAAGACCACACCTCTTCCAAAGACAGTTCCAAAAGGATTTAAATATAGATGTCATTGAATGCTTTGAAACTAGAATCTACTGTTAATCTGTGCTCTGCTACTCCATTCCCCTGAAGAGGAGTTTTACAAGTCTGTTGTAACACCTTCTCAAAAGCTTCATTTCATCTGAAAATTTGACTAGATGCTTCTTCATTTAACTGCCTCAGCAGAAGGGTACTGAAGGTAAGCATGGTTTCTTCTAACAGCAAACATTTAGCACACAAATATAAGATGACAAACATTTCTGAAGAATTCATCACAAGATAAAAATTATGTGCATATGCACAAATGTACATGAAATAAGACACGTAAGACGAGCTTTGCCACTACATAGTGGTTCAATAAGATTCTGTTACAATACTTGCTCACAGAGAAACAACACAGCTCTTAGTGAGGAAGAATTCTTCCAACTTAAACTGAGAGGTTCCAAAGCAAAGGTCCTGCCTGCACAAAGGTATCAACAAACTAATCACAAAAATCTAACCACAGCTAAACAAATGTTATTTGACCAGTTACCAGCTGACACTCTGTACATGCCTCCATACAGTCAAGTTCCTGAAAATGAAACACAAGATTATTATTTAGCTGAAAATGGACTCACTGTTCTGAACAGCTCATAAGCCTGTGGAGTCCCTTCCAATCTTAAGAGTCTGAAGTCATGCAAGAGCTCCCTGAAGCAGCATTTATCTGGTCACACACGTCTAGATGACAGCACTGTTGTTCTCATTAGGACCACAACTTCTGGTACTGACAAGTGACTCCTGAAATGTTATTCCTTGCTGAAGCATCTCAGTTTTAAATGACAGGGATTGAAAAACAATGGAATATTCTCAGTAGAACAATCAGATACTTGTTTAATTGAGAATTCATATACAGAGTCTATGGAACTCTGTGCAAATGGATGCAAAGAGCTTCATATAATAGAGTGCCTTTTGGATTGATCTCACAGTTACTTCTACATACACTGGCATGAATAGGTCAGTGCAATCCCCCCCTCCCATGTCTGTTCCTGACACTGGATTAAAAAATAAGCAGTCCAGCCTGAGATTGTTTTGTTTTGTTTTGCAGAGGCACCAAAGTAGGCTTGCTCAATCACTCTGTCTTGAGACCGGCAGCCTCCCGCCGTTGCTTCTGAACAGTCCTGGAATCTTCCCACAGACGGGGTCCTCTGATGTTCTCCCAGTTATCCAAGTCAGACTTTTCCAGCTTCTGCAGATAAACATAAAAAATAACAGTGTCACCTTGACAGCCCTACGATTTGAAGTACTTGTTATTCTAAATTGGTTTATTTTTGCACAAGAAACTCAGTATCACTACTGAGTTGACAAACTTTCATCTCCCCTGCAAGAAAAGTTCAACAACAAGGAAAAAAAAAGTTATCCACATAGCTACATAAATGAGTAGGGTGGGCACTACTCCATCTGCTTATCAACAGATAAATAACATGTAGGACAGGAAGCATTATAGCATCTGAACACAACTGAAGATATCTACTATTCACTTTTTCTTTCTTCTCTCACCTTGTTTTCCAGTTCTGTTCTTCAACTGCAAGTCTGCCAAGTACCAAAGTAGTAGATTAGTAATTAGTGACCTGAAGTATCCTGTCACCACAGATACAAAGCATGCTGAAAAAGATGAATTATCTAGCACAAAGAGAGACAGTGGCAGTGCAATCCCCTTCAATCCAAGTGGTTTTAACTAGAGAGAGGTATGCAATGCTTTCTGCTGCCTAGTTTCTCATGGCACCCAACCATCACAGATAGGTCTCTCACTAAGTCAGTCATACATGAGAGATGCTAACTGGCCGAACTGTCAGATACTTAAAAACTATGTAGATTTTAATTATGTCCTTGCCTATTCCTATCATCTCCACTCAGAAATACCAATGACCGCAGTATTTATCTAGCCTTAGAGGCACACAAAAATGAACAGGTGCCGTCCTGACCTCACCTTCCAAGTGCTGCAGTTGAAGATGACAAACATCTACTGCATCTTCACAGTTCTACTGGTAGAGACATAGAAGTCGTTTCCCAGCAGACACAGACCTCAAGTCTCACATACCAGCCTGCAGTCTGGAACGGTACATCAGACACGGGTGTCTGCCAACAGGAGACTGAGGAGGGTGGAACTGCACCACTGCCAGAAACAGGGCCATTCTATGTGCTGCTGATAAAGGGCAACACTGCACACCATTAATGATTACGTACTGCAGTGGGATTTAAACCTCTGGTTTGTGATCAGGGCCTCATCTCAGCAAATGCTGTAAAAGTACAATAGAAAATACTTAACCCTGCCCTGAGCCTGTGGTCTAATTTGCCTGCCATCAATCATCCAAATAAATGGCAAATACTGAGGGACTTGAATAATAGTCGCGGAATAATTCAACAGCTAGAGCAGAATAAACCTGCTGCTATTAGTTCATATTATGTAAAAGTTTTCTGCCACTTCTACAATTGAGGAAATTGCAATGAGGTTAGTCAGATATCAAAAGAAATTAGGCAACATTCAACAGAAGATATATGAGAACACATGCACGAACACAGCAGACTTTCACAAGGTAGGAGCAACTGAATTTTTTATACAGTGGAGTTGGCATAGGTCTTTCTGAAGAATTGTCTTCGCTATTTTATACATGTTATGATTAGCTGGTACTTCATTTCAACTGGAAGCGATCTGAGCTGACATGGAAGGAGGGAGAAGGAGAGAAGGTACCCATCATCCCACACAGCAGTGACTATCCACTCTGATTGCAAATTCAGAATTTAACATCCGATTCTAATGGAGGCTTCAAGGAAACTACACTGAAAATAACCTTGTGCTTTAACAGAAGAGAAGCATGCTGATTTTATTAAACACAAAGGTATCACATAGCTATGAGGATCTAAAGTATTCCTAAAGGTGCTCAGGTTCTAAAGTCTGAACAAGGATCAATATTTAAAATATACATACAATAAGACTTGTGGCATCTAAAGACAGGATACATAAAGAAATCTATCAAAAGAGACATGCATACTGGAGATCTTTACCAAAAGTTCCTATTAATCTGCCCCTGCAATTTCACAAAGGCTTTGCAGAGAGGAGGTTTGTCCAAAACAGGAAATATTTCAAAAATATAAACAAACCAGTACGAAAAAGTATTTTGGCAGTTTCCAACAGAAAGCATAAAGGTACCTGGAAAACACACTGTGATATACTAACAGAATAAAACAATTAAGGGTTATGTACAGCAAATGGCATTGCCTCAAACTATAGAACGGATGAGATCTATTGACTGGATTATTTTTTGTCAAAATATAAAGAATTAAAGATTCTAATGAATACACAGAGACACTGTATTTTTATTTTTTATTCTCTTTATATTTATAGAGATCTTTAACATTTTGTGTCATGTATAAAGATTGTGTTTGATACCTTACTGCAATTCAAGAAGGAAGCACCTTCCCTACTGGTACCTGACTGTATCTGCAAAAATTAGTAGTTTACGGGACAGGTATCTATCTGTTCAGTCATCAGAAGGCAGCATGATTAGACAATCCAATTTTCTAAACTGATGTTATAAAGTTTTGAAAGACTAGAAGAGTCCTGTGCATGTGGATAAGCATAAGAACGAGTATCACCGATGAAACGGGACCCAAAAATCTGTTCTGCAATGCTTTCCTACTCTGTAGGTATTTTCATATGTGCCTACCTGTGCTGATTTTGGCCGGGAGAGAGTTCATTTTCTTCATAGGAGCTGGTATGGGGCTGTTTTGGATTTGTGCTGAAAATAGCGTTGATAACACAGGGGTGTCTTCATTACTGCTGAGCAGTGCTTACACAGAGTCAAGGCCTTTTCTGCTCCTCACACCACCCCACCACCGAGTAGGCTGGGGGTGCACAAGGAGTTGGGAGGGGACACAGTTGGACAGCTGACCCCAACTGACCAAAGGGATATTCCTTACCATATGATATCATGCTCAGCATATAAAGCTGAATTTCTTGTTTTGCTTTGCTTGTGTGCTTGGCTATTAAACTGTCTTTATCTCAACCCACAAGTCTTCTCACTTTTACCCTTTTGATTCTCTCCCCCATCCCACCGGCGGGGGAGTGAGCAACTGGCTGGGTGGTTACCGGCCGGGGTTAAAACATGACACCACCTCACATACAAGTAAACAAAACTTAACCTTTTTGCTTGGTCAATGACATGGCAATTCTTACAACAGTATCACCATAGAATAAATGGCTACATTAGATGTAGGACAAAGACACTACATTTTACATTTTAGCTTTTACTAAATTGAAATCCATATGAACTGGCAGTTTAAAACCCAAAAAGCTTTTTCTCCCAATTCATATGTACTAAACAGTCAATCATTGGAGATTACAATGAAATGTAATCAGATCAGACCGGCACAACTATTCCTACTTGTCTCAAACAGCCCAAAGGATATTGAAAATTAGCTGTTAAAAGTAAGATCAGTGTAGTCTATTAAATCTACTGATTCACTTCTTAAATCAGTTAAACTGCCTCTTCAAAGTACAGGACTGACAGAAGCTGTAAATTCAAGAAAAAAAATGCAGCTCTGCAGACAGGCACAGTGAACAAAAAACGTTCAACTGTTTGCCACACACTTGACTTTTAAGACTTTTGTTAAACAGCTTGCCTGGTGCAAAGGTACCAATAAGGATGTAATGAGACCTTCACTTCTTAATGGTTCAAATGCCTGGCTTGATATTAAGTAAAAGCCGTAATCCTCAGTCAGCCTTAAAATAAAATAAAATTTAAGAAAGAGTTTGAATTCTACTCTTGCAGGATAGTCTTCATGTCACAATAACCAAACAGAAATCTTCAATAATTCATTTAGAGCTATCGGTGCTCAGGCTGAGTTAATTCAAGGTGGTCACTTGCAAAAATGTTTGACTTTAGTCTCTGTTTACCACACGTGAAAGGAGGGATAAGAAAATCCTGTTTACTTTACAGCTCGATGCTATAAATTGTGATGAACACCAGAGAAAGAAATTACTCTAATTCAGAGATGATTATTTCCCATCATTATAGTAAGCAAACCTATTTGCAGATAAAAGATGAGCCAGGGAAGAAATCCTCATGGTTGAAAGATGCAGCAAAAGAAATGCATTAAACCAGTCTGTTTCTGCAAGGGTGTCAAAACAGCTTGAAGACCATAAAAGGTATATTGAGGAACTCTACAATGATGTATAGATGCAGACATACAGAATTAAGGCTAGCACTGACTCTGCTGTCTTGCGTGTGACTGAAAATCTTAACTTTATCATAACACTGATATGGCCTTATTGGTTTTTTTTTTTACAACTCTTTTCCAGAGCCACCTTTTTGACATCTCATTTGCTTAATACAAACTTAGTGTTACTTTGTTTAGGAATATTTGCAATTAGTGATTCAATAATCTGTCATTTAATAGATTGTGATTAGTGATTTAATCCTCAGATTAAAAAGTAGTATTTTTTCCAACTAGAGAATGTTTAGGTTTTATGTTATTGGTATACAAGCAAGTCAGCAAGCAGCATGCTATGGCCAGAATAAAGGGGTTTTTAGTTCACTGAGGGAAGAATTTCCCCCCCCCACCACATAATCATCTAGAGATCTGCTTTTCTTTTGGGCTTTGCTGAAGACTGGCAAAAATTGCAATGATGAAACCAAGAGGTTTTGTTGCTAACTTCAGTGGGAGCCAATACTATTCGTCTATGGCACAATTAATTAACTTATGGTGAACTGGTTTAAGAGACTCTTTCCCCATAAGTTATTTTCCCTTTAATTATGCCAATTCAGCACTATGTGGGGCTGTGCCCCAATCAGAAAAATGAAATAGATTAGGAAAAGAAATACATACTGTTTATGAATGAATCCTATTTAAGCATAAGACTATACAAACACTTGAACAGGCACAGCTGAAGGAATCATTGGGCAGACAACAGAATTATCTTTAGGTGGCTATGTTATGAAAGATGTGTATCAAGGAACTGCACCGCCAATTTGTCTGTGCATCATTTTCCCAATCTGAGGAATGAAAACAAGACTTGCCTCCATCTCAGAGGTGTCAGAGAGTTTAAGTAAGTTTGCAGAGTGCTCTCATAATTTTATGTGAAGATGCTATAGTGATACAAATTATTCAGTAAACCAATTATAGCACTTGGTTAAAACTACATAGTTACACAGCCTTGAATTTTTTAAATAACAAAAAATAACATTA